ATTCCTGCTAGAGGCAGAGAGTGTTGTCCTAAGAAATATTCCCCTCTTCCAGAGGTGCAGTCCCTGTGGGAGAAGCCCTTTCCTTCAGGCACCTTTCTCAGAGCACTGACACCCATGGTGTAGGGCTGGACCAGTGCCTGGAGAAGCCCAGCTGGAGGGTGGGTTGCAGCCTCCCAGTAGAACCTGAAGTCACTGAACAGTGCTTGATACCTCTTTTGTTCCTCCAGGCTTTTCTAGATGCTCTGCAGAGCCAAGCTGAAGCCAGTAGTAAAATCATTGGCCAGTTTGGAGTGGGATTCTACTCAGCCTTCATGGTGGCTGACAAAGTGGAGGTGTTTTCCCAGTCTGCAGAGCCAGGGAGCCCAGGCTACCACTGGTCATCTGATGGGTAAGGCTGCAGGATGGGATGGAAACCCTGGGGGCCTGTGTCTGGGCCAGGCATGGAATGGAAGCTGTGCAAAGCAAGACAGGGCTTGTGTGGTCCTTCATAACTGGGCTTACTGGTTTAGATCCTGCTGGGATTTGACGTGGTAACAAAAGTGAGGCCAAATGTGCTGGGGTGAAAACCACAGGGACAAACTGGCTTTGTCAGAGGGAGAACCTGCCTCTCCTGTTCCTTCCCTGCTGACAGGCAATCCTTGCAGTGCCCCACACTGGAGAGAGATCACATCTCCTTGGTCTGGTTGTTCCCTGGGTTTTTCCTCAAGGCACTGGCAGCAGGCAGGGCTCCTGCAGTGCTGAGGCTCCATAGGCACGTGTCTCCTGGGGGTTGGATCTGTGCTTATCCATTGTTCTCTTCTTGAAGTTGCAAACATCTGTGATGGCAAAGCTGTGGACTGCTGGGCCACGTGGGAAGTGGAGCTCCTGGAGGTGAAATGCTCTGCATCCCCCTAAAATTTCCTAGGAATAAGCATCTACTAAGTTATTGATATTATTGAAAAAAACATCTTGTAACTAACACGTGAGGCTGTCTCAGGCTGCAGGGAGGCTGCTGGGCACTGCACTCTGTGCTGCCCTACACACTGATCTGTCATCCCTGGGTCACTGGCTGTCCCCTGGGTCAGGGGTTGATCCCCATGTGGCATTAACTTAGCAGAGAGCAGGAATAAAAGTCACCTGGAATGAGCTGTCATCTGCAGAGCACAGCTGCTCTTCCTTGGAACCAGTGACTCCAGTGGAGATCATAAAATCATGGAATGGTTTGTTGTAAGGAGCCTTAAAGATCATCTAGATCCAACCCCCCTGCATGGGCAGGGACACCTCCCACCAGCCCAGGCTGCTCCAAGCCCCATCCAACCTGCCCTTCAACACTGCCAGGGATAGGGCAGCCACAGCTTCCCTGGGCAACCTGGGCCAGGCTCTCACCACCCTCACAGCAAAGAATTCCCTCCTCATGTCCAACCTCAATCTCCCCTCTGCCAGTTTGAGTCCATTTCCCCTTGTCCTCTCCCTCCCTGCCCTTGTCCCAAGTCCCTCCCCAGCTTTCCTGCAGCCCCTTCAGGCCCTGGAAGATAGAGGTGAGGGCCCTCAAAACAGGACAGAGTAGTCAAGGGCAAAGGCAGGAGCCTGAGTGTTACAGTTGCTGTAGGAAGTGCAGGAGAGGAGGTGAAAGTTGGGCCCACACAACGTGGGCTTTGGAGTTTGTTTCCTTTTCAGCAGAGGCTGCTGGTGTCTTTGCAGCGTGTCCTGGTTCTGGAGTCTCTGTAGGGAAGACAGACACATGTTTGGGGGGCTTCTCAGAGGCACAGAGACCATACAGGACTTCAAGATTTTTTTACCTTTTCCTCTAGGTGCCAGAGTGTTGTGTGTGCTCTTAGTTTAATCAAAGATTTCTGTGTCCCATCATGGGTGTGTCTGAGGCACAAACTGATACGAAGTCTGTTTCTAATCCTAGTTCAGGAATGTTTGAGATTGCAGAAGCATCTGGTGTCAGAACTGGGACCAAGATTATTATCCATCTCAAAGAAGACTGCAAGGAGTTTGCAAATGAAGACAGAGTCAAGGGTGAGTGGAAGAGGGAAGTTACCTGCTGAAGGGCTGGGTGAAGTCTGTAGCTGATGATGGGGAGGTGGGTTTTCAGTGGTTTTCCTGTCCTGCAGCACCTTCCACCTGCTGTTACTGAAGAAATCCTGACTGTGTTGTTTTCCCAAATGTGACTCCTCTGTGTCTTGTTTCCATTCCAGAGGTGGTGACAAAGTACAGCAACTTCATCAGCTTCCCACTGTATCTCAATGGGAGAAGAATGAACACTTTGCAGGTGAGCAGTAGGGCTGCAGCCTTGTCACTCCTGGAGAAGAACCTTTGTCACCTTCCACTGGGGACAGGAGACAGAATAAAGCTGCTGCTCCTCCTGGAAACAGGGGAGGATTGTCCAGGATATCACAGACCCCATAGTGTTCAGCTAATTAGAACAAAGGGAGACAATCCAGCAGAATTCATGCCTGGAACTGCTTGTTTGCATTTGTTGGAGAGAATTCTTGCAGATGAGCAAAGCAGGGGGTTCTGTACAGATACTTTCTGGGTTTTCCCTTCATCAGAATGATTGTCTCAATGGTTTATGATACTCACTCTAACTGTTCAAGCCAGGTGAATGTTGGGGATGTAGGGATTGCTCAAAGCTCTGGTGCTCTGATACCTGCAGCTCTCTCTGTCCTGCAGGATGAGGTAACCAGTGAGTGGTTGGTTTTCTCAGTGCCTCAGCTCACAGCCTGATTTTCTTCACAGCTCTTACCTTTTTTTCTCAGCTAATTTTCTTCTTAGCTCTTGATGCTGGCATTTTCTGATCACTGACAATTACACAGCAGCCAGATCCATTTTAGCCAGAAGTTCTCAGCCCAGTTGCAGGAATCACCTAGATGAAATGGATTCTCTTGAAACCAAAAATCTATTCATCATTTTCCCCCAGCATCTCCTTTTCTAGTTATTTAAAGCTTCCTCACCTAAGAGAGCAGGTAGAGAACATGTGTGTGGTTATTTTGTTCCCTGCAGGGTGGCACTGAATGCACAGGCTTCCCAGACTGTACTTAAATGTTTTATCATGTTAATTTACTTAGGGTTCTGTAATGGGTGTTGTTAGTCACTGATATTTATTTGGATTCCTGCATAACAGTGTTTCTATTCCAAAGCCTTCCTACCTGTTTCCTTTACATTCCAAAACCAGAAGCAGCTGTAGGTGGCTGTTTGCTCTCTCTACCTGCCAATCAATAGAACAGACTCCTTGGAGATGTGTAGCACTAGAGCCAGGGATGAAATGCCCTTAAAAGAGTCCTGGACTTTTATCTTCTTATCAGAAAGTCTCTTTTCCCTTGGGATACAGCAACAGCTTTGTCCTCATTGTGCTTCCATTTCAGGCTTTTTTCCTTTATCCAGGATTTTGGTTTTGCCTCTTTCTACACATCAACACCAGTTCACTGCATGTTGAGCCAGAGTTTGATCCCTGGTGTGGATTTTCCTAGTTAAGCTCTTGAGTGCTTGTCATGTAGCTGCAAATGTGGAGTTAGAGGTTTTTCCAGCCTAACTCTGGTAACTTGTAGCTACAAGTGTAGAAGCCTCTGGGAAAGCAGCACTTTACCCAACAGCTGGTGTAAAGCACTTCAGAACCCAACTGAGTCTGTAATCCTACCTGTGATCCTGCAAACCCTCCAGGACACTTGTGTGTGCTGGAGATGTTAGGAAGCCACTTGTGGACAAGGTTTTGAGGCAGAAGAAGCTTTAAGGGGGATAGCCAGGGCTGCCAGAGCCCTGAATCCCTTGGGCTGGTAGGGAGAGGGTGGACTGGGTGTTTGTGTTGCCCCCTGTGATGGCTCCTGTCACTCATGAGGGCTGGAGTAGAAACACTGTGAATGTTGTGGGTTTCACCCATCTGGAGACAGGAGATTGTGAGTTGAGTCCCCACAGGCAGAACCTCTCACATCTTTGCTGGGTGCTTGACTGTTGCTGAGGTACTGAAAACCTCTGTGTGGTGTGAGCAGAGGCTGCAGCAGGTGTGGGGGGTGAGAGCAGCGTGGCCGTGGGGAAGGGCCTGGTCTGGAGCTTGTGATGGTAACTCATGTATGAAATGGTGCTGCTGAAGCACCTCCTGACCACTTGGAGGGCAAGTGGTCACAGAGGATCTTCTGATCTGTCCCAAAATAAAGCAGCAGAAAGCAGGTAATCCAGGAGTTGCTTCCCAAGCACCAGGCTCACCTTGTGGTGGGATAATGACTCCAGCAGGGATGCAGGCTTGGTTGCATCACACCCTCTTGGAATTTTAAGTTTTCTTTTGCTTGCTAGTCAGGCCTTGGGATGCAGGACTAGTACCGCTGGTCAGCTGAGCTGAGGTCACTGTCCAAGATGCTTTTGGCCAGTAGGTGTGAGGCAATGGATGTTACCCAACTCTCTCTTGTTTTGAGCTAAACAAAGCTGCCTCACATATGTTGGTTTCCTCTGCCAGGTCATGGAATACAGCAGCTCAGAGCTGAGCCCACTATTAACTTTGTTGTTGAATATCAGGATTAACTGCTGCAAAGCTTCCCTAAGGCCTTCATGTTAAATCTTTCAGCTTTTGGACATTCCAGAGGACATTGTTGGTTGAGAGAGAAAACATGACCTTACAGTAGCTTTCCAGTGCCTGAAGGGGCTCCAGGAAAGCTGGGGAGGGACTTGGGACAAGGGCAGGGAGGGAGAGGACAAGGGGGATGGATGAAAAGTGGCAGAGGGGAGATTGAGGTTGGCCATGAGGAGGGAATTCTTTGGTGTGAGGGTGGTGAGAGCCTGGCCCAGGTTGCCCAGGGAAGCTGTGGCTGCCCCATCCCTGGCAGTGTTGAAGGGCAGGTTGGATGGGGCTTGGAGCAACCTGGGCTGGTGGGAGGTGTCCCTGCCCATGCAGGGGGGTGGAACTGGATGATCTTTAAAGTCCCTTCCAACCTATGCTGCAGGGCTAGAGTAGCTCTGTGAGAGGTGATGAGGATGAGCTGAGGGGCAGTGACTGGTTAGTCTGTGCTCCTGTGCCTGCTCCATCCCACACCCTGAGGCTAGACAGAGTGTCCCTCTGCTGGAAAGACAATCATTCCTGGCTCCAGCGCCCTGCAGGGGAAGGGTGACTGTGACAGAAGAGCTGCCAGGCAGCAGGTCTTGAGAGCTGATGGGAGCTCCTGTCCCTGCTCCCCCCCACCCCCAGGCACTCTGGATGCTGGACCCCAAGGAGATCAGCGAGTGGCAGCACGAGGAGTTTTACCGCTTCATCGCTCAGGCCTTCGACCGGCCCCGCTACGTCCTGCACTACCGGGCTGATGCTCCCCTCAACATCCGCAGCATCTTCTACGTGCCTGAGCAGGTACCTGCCCTTCTTTCTGTCCAGGGAACAGGGGGGGACATCTGCCCAGGTCCTCTGAAAAGGAGACAACGGGAGAGGAGGGCGAGGAGGAGCATGGCCTCTCGGCGGTGGGCTGGGGGCCGCAGGATGGCTGTTGTGGGGAGGTGGATCAGGAAGACAACCAAGATTTCAGCTCTCCTTGGGTTCAGCGGTGGTAGAGAAGACCACAGTGTGACCTGGTCAGGTGGTGCAGTTACCTTCTGCCTCTTGTTGCTGCAGAAACCATCCATGTTTGACATCAGCAGGGAACTGGGCTCCAGCGTTGCCCTCTACAGCCGCAAAGTCCTGATTCAGACCAAGGCTGCAGACATCCTGCCCAAGTGGCTGCGATTCCTTCGAGGTGTGTGCTCCCACCAGGCTGTGCACCGTGCCTTCCTCAGGGGGTGAGGACTTCCTGAGCCTGGCACTCTGTGTTTGCCACACTGTGCAAGGGTTGCTCTGTGTTGCAGGTGTGGTGGACAGCGAGGACATACCCCTGAACCTGAGCAGGGAGCTGCTGCAGGAGAGTGCCCTGATCCGGTAAGCACGAGGTGGAGCCTGTGGGCTGCTGAGCCTCTTCTAGCTTCTTGCTGGTTGAGGAGGGGACACTGTGGGATAGTTAGAAGGGCCTGGAGGAACCTGGCACGTAAGCTGCAGCATTTCCACCCTTGAGAATTTCTGTGGTCTTATCAAGTGGGTTCTCAGCTGTGCTGGGAACACCTCAAGATGCAGGAGCGGTGTCCTGTGTCACACAATCTGCTGCTGCCTGCTTTCCCTTGTGCCCTAGGCTGCCATTTGGTACCTCTGGTCTACAGCAGTCACAGTGGATTTGCTGTTCAAAGTGTCTTGTCTGCACCACCAAGTGGTTTGGAAAACAAAAAACCAGCTGAGTGCCAGGCAGCAAGGTTTGCCTCCGTGCTGAGACCCAGCAAAGCTGATTGCTGGCAGGCCAGTCTCCCCTCAGAACCTCTTAGATCTAGCTTTGGGTTTTCCTTCCTTTTTGTCCTTCAAATCCCCTCTCAAACATCTGCCATTGTTGGAACCTGAGGAAAGTACAAGAGTAGGCTCTTAGTGCTTAGCATGGGTGCTGTTATCTTGCTCAGTGTGATGGCTGACTTTGTGTTCTGTGGCTGGTGAAATGCCTCTGCCTTCACTATAGTCACCAAATTAACCCTGTCACTTCACAGTGGATTTTTCAGGCCTTCAGAAAAGGTTCTTCCAACTGTAACCCCTCCAGAACTGCTTCCTTCCCATGTTTAAGGGCAGCTGTGGGAGGGAGGCCTGAGCACAGTTAGTACGTGCTGCAGCATCACCCAGTCACAAGTCACTGAAGAGCTGAG